GCCCCCGCCAAATTTGTTTCCTATCCTAGAGCTTCCAGAGGAAGTCAGAGAGCGATGGGAGACATTCTGCACAAGCTCTTTAGGAGAAACTAACAAAAGGAATACTGTGGACCTGGTAAGTGGTGTTAAAGTTTGCAAGTTGTTGTTGTTTACTTGGGCCCTGGTTTCTTCTTGTCTGGAGCACAGCTATGCTTGTCTTACCGACTGCCATGCTACCGAGATAGTGTCAGCAAGTACATCCAGTAGCTGAGCTGATGCTACTTTTAGTTTCCTTTTTAACTGGAGCTACATCACTAATACTTTGTATGAGAATGTTGCAGTAGCTCACTCTGTGTAGCTCTTCTCCGGCAACCAGTGAGAAGGAAGATATCCTTCCTTACAGCTTCATGTTAGGTTCCTTGAAACCTCCTGTCTGCTCAGAGTACAGACTAAAAGTCCAGAAGTTGGTGTTGATTTCTTCTTGTACGGTATGTATAGTAGTGAGGTTTTATATAACAAATTCTAACTTGTTTATATTTTAATAATTTATATATTTAACCCTTTGTTTTTAACTTTCTCCCTTGTTTAGAAATTTCTCCTACTGGACCAAGGCCAAGAGAAGCCTCATCTAAAGAGGCAGAATTTTAAGCTGATCTATACTTAATAACATTATAGCAATTCTTAGCTTTTAAGATACCTAGTCGTTTATTTGGACTTACTTGACTTAACAGTAGACTTTGCCTAAAACATATCCTCAAACTTCTCAAAATCCAGATGAATGGAAATATGAAGCATTAAAACATTTTGGCCTGTCTGAAATTTAATTAGGAAATGTGGTGGCTGGTTTTAAATTTCTAAAAAAAGTTATAGACCTTGTTTCTGCTCTTGTGATCCAAGACTCGTGAGAATTGATGAGAATTTATTTCTAAAAGACACTAATGGACAGTGAAACGTGGCAGAGGAGATGGTAAAAGACAGCTCTCAGAAAACTCAGCTTGTTGTTTTACTGAGTGAAGTGTAAGTTACACTTTTGGCGTGGATCTCCCCAGTCATGCTGCCCCACAACCTCCGCGTTTGTTTGATGTGTGGCATTGGTCTCCATAGCTGTATGACCTCTTAGACATCCTGCTCAGCTTTACAGACTGAGTGTTAGAGCTCTTCTGATAAGTTCTTGAAAGCACCCTGGGGTAAAAGAGGTTGCTGTGATTAATTTTTATACGTGAAAAATGTGGAAGTGCAGACTTGCAGTGTCTTCAGGACAAGGTCTTAAACTTTTCTTAATTTTCTGTGGATTAGCCTTACACTTAAAGCTGAGTGGACAAACAGACTTGCTGCCTTTGTTCAAGGCTTTCCTGTCCTAAGCAAGCTGCTGAGCAGTACCTAGTCGGAGGTGATGTAACAGCACCCGACCTGAATGCTGGAATTGTAATTTGCTGTTGTACTTGATCGTCTTTATTGAATATACTGACTGTACTATGCTTGGATGACCTAGTCTTTAAATATGCACGCTGTCGTTTTGTGAAGTTCGCATATAAAAATATGTGAACAAGTTTGCTGTTTTAAAGCCACTGAAAGAGCTGATCTCATGAGTATTTCCAATGTTTCAGTCATTCAGCTCTCAAGGAACTCTATTGCTATAATGGAACAAAGTATGTGATCCTGGAGTGCCTCGCATAAGGAGCTGCCTCTGTGACCATCAGATTACTCTCACTTTTTCAGTTGCTTTATATCGGGGATGTTACTGGTGAAGCTATCAATGCTTTATCTTTCTTCTTTCTTTCTCCCACCCCCTCACACTTCAGGCTTTTTGGTCTTTTTGAGAAACTCTGGTTACATTTCATAAAGTAACAGTAACTGCAGGCTTAGTTCTGCTACAGGCTCACTTCAGTCTCAGGCTCCCAAAACATCTTACAGACTTCACAGGAAGCTTATTTTTGCTTCCACTGCTATAAATGGGTACAAGTGGTAGGCAATACTTTTCTAAGCTTACCTACTTATACTTTCTTAGCTAAAGATACAGCTGGAAATGAAACAACTGTGGGGGTAATTGTTCACGTTATCTTTAGGCAAGATGTATTTAATGATGCTGCCATAGCGAAGAATGCTATACAATTTGTAATAACTAGGTTTGCCCAAGAGACTCTTTACTGTTTCAAGTAAGTGTCTTTTTAGAGCATCCCTTCCAGTATTATTAGTCATGATTTTGAATGTTCATGAGGCACTTAAATACCAGGTAAGAAGAATATACCTCCCCTAAGCCTAAAAATACAGCTCTACAGGACAGATTGTTCATCATTCCCCTAAAAATAACCGTGTAGTTCCTTTCTCCTGTGGAAAATCCCTCTTGGTAACAGCAGGAAATGGGACCGAAAATGCCATGTATTAAGAGGAATTATTTTTGAAGAGTGCTGATGCTGCACTGGTAATGCAAGATGCTAGGAAGTGACAGGTCTGAGCAGTAAGGTGTTTGCTTTCTTTACTAAAGCAGCTGCAATTTGCCAGGGTCACTTCTGTCTCTCTCCTGCCACAAACCCTGGGATAATTCTTCCGTTTCATGGTTAGGGTGGAGTAATGCTAGAGGTTTTTCTTCTCTCGGGTTTATGCTACAAGTACAGCAGCTGTCAGGAAACGAAAGCAGTAAGTCGTCATCTGACGGCTTCGTGCCCTGTTGCCTTGTAGAGAGAGCTTGGGGGAGTGTATGTGGCTTAGTCTCCCCCCACAACAAGCTGCAGTTGTAGAAGGAGCAGATATATTACGTTTTGCCCTCTAAAAGTGTGCCAATGCTAAGGTCTCTAGGATTGCTTAAGTTGTGGTGAACGGCCCTATATAATTACATTAAAAGGTGCAGGCTTCGTGAGATTTGGTGTATTGCTGTTCTTGCTGCCCCTCATCACCAAGGTAGTGTTAAACTTGAGCTGTCGTTTACTTCATAAACCTCACTACTTTGAGGTCAGCCTAGGTCTAGTATGCAAATCCTCATGCAAGGCAGAGTGGAAGATATGCGAGAGAAAAACACCTGAAATGACGTAGCTTTTAAATAAGTGTTGCGCTGAAGGAGAAGGGAAGCACAGAAGGACGATATACCTCTGTTGCGTATGTGACCTGACTGCAGTGTTGTCCTGTGGTATTTGTGGGAGCGTAGAAAGAGGTCGGTCTTGTATGAAGTCTTGCATGTTCCATATGTTTGAATAGACTTTCTTTTGTTGTTTTAAAAAAAATCCACTGGCCGATCGAGTTCATTTGGGAGTCTGTAGCATGGAGTTCTAGAGGCGGGCGGCATAATGCAGTATGGTATAATACAGTGTAAACCGACAGCTGTAAACTTGCTTTGTACTAGTGGTCCTTCGGAGAGTACGTCTTAAGGGTCAGCTGGTACTTTAGCTTGCTGCTGTCCCAGCTAAAACTACTTCTGGAGTCCTGTGCTGATGGAGGATGGGTCCTTCTTGGAACATGTCGCTTAGGGAGCAGCATGGCTGGACAGACTATTCCTCCTGGTTCTGTCTCAGATCACCAAAAAAACAAATCTGCCTTTTTCAGAGTAATGTTTAAAACAGTTGTTGCTGTTGCTACAGCTCCAAGTTTACTTCTGCAAGTAAATATTGGTTATATATTTTTGGAAGAGGGATTCCCTCCCCCCCTCTGTCTAGTGAACTCTCTTTTGTACATATATCTAAGACAGTTTCTCTTTAACTTTTGTGCACTCTGCATACGGGAAAGGAGGAGGTTCTCCCTGCATAATCTAGAATTTCAGTGAGTCTCCCAATTCACTTGTCGTTCACTCTGTATCTTGCAATGAAAAGACAAGATGCAAGCTTTAGCCAGCTGTCAGCCACAGGGCTGACTTGCTGTACGCTGAACGCTCATTCTAAAGTAGCCTGACCTTTTGCTTTTGTTTTTACTGGGTGCCTAGTGCTTAGGTATGGGATGATGGCATTGAAATATTCCTGGCACTGCTTTATGTGGTATGGCAGTTGGAAAAACGGAAAATGATTCTCTCTTCTCTCTTGGAGATGAAATCGAAGATTCAGCCAGCTATTGCAGGTGTACCTGAGCTTCTCTCACATACTAAGTAGACGCCTCAATTTCTTTGTGTAGGTTACTACCTGCCACATTCATTCTTCCAGTGACGATGAAATTGATTTTAAAGAAACTGGCTTCTCGCAGGATTCTTCCTTGCAGCAGGTGAGTTGGATTCTTCTGACGGCATAAGCTTCTCTTTCTTTGCAAAAATATTTCTTTAGTGGAACTCTCACTCCCATCACAAGCAAATACGAATCTAAAGCATAAAAAGCCACTTGTGTGCACGCACAGAACCATTTTGTCCAACCCAGAGAGGTGACTTTTTTTAATGCAAGTCGCAGCACCTTGGCATGCCTTTGGATTTTTAGTCTTTGCTCATGCTGCGTGTGCAGATCTCTACTCTTTTATTCATTTAAGAAAAAAGTCGGAACGCCAAGAGACTCTGGGGATCAGCCAGACTGAAAGCTTCAATCTAAGCTGTGCCCGGCTTGAATTTCTGATGGCTTCATAGCCTGCTAATTGGCGATGCAGTATTTGATATGGTGATGGCATGTTTGGGGTTTTTGGGGGATGATTGACTATGAAGCATGTTGGTGCCATTTTTGACGGAGGAGGACAGCGATTTTCTACTAGCGCTGTCCTGTCCGCAATATGAGTCTCCTTCAGTTCTGCCCTTAGTGGTGAAAAAGCGGGAGCTGGTGGTGCATAGCCACAGAGCACAGGACTGCGGGTGCAGTTTTGTAATGCAGAACGCAGTAACAGCTGGGTTATAACGAAAATCTTATTTTAATCTTTAGCTCATACTAAAAGCTGTGTTGCGACTATGTAGTCTGGAGCACCGAAACTGACTTTTGTACTTTATCTTCTACAGCTTTTATAAAAAGTAGTTATTAAGTTTGAATTGGGGGTGGTGGCTCTAGTTTTAAGACGTTCTGTTGTTCCATTTTTATCTGTTTCGGTGATCTTGCACATGTAAGATGCCCCTGAATATAGACTTGATAGGTTGGGTGCCTTCTGTAGCAGCTCTAGTGAGAAAGTAAGATCTAAATACATCTGTGCTTTTCATGCACCCCCTTAATGATCTATTGTGTCACAGCAGTCATAGCAGTTCCAGGTAGCTCACCTACTAGAGGAATGCAGATGGTCCACTGCTATATCTTTAAAGTTTGTCACCATTTTCTTAGCATTTATTTTTAAGCTAGGATAGTGAAATCTACTGTTGTGTAAGTTGTCTTGTGAGGAAAGCAAGATACTGGACAAGATAAATCACTGATGGGAAATGTATTGAAGTCGCTTCAAGCGTTATCCAGTTACACAAACTCATTCATGTTTCTTTGACTTCAGCTAATACCCTGCATGCACCAGTATTTAAAGGAGGGGAAAAGGAGGTAGACTTTTCAAGATTTAAGTGCCCCTTTGGTTTATTGTTTGCCAAGCGTTAGTTTCATAACCAGCTGATGACAGGAGCCTCATGTCTAACTTGTGTTTAACCTGGTGAGTGGTATTCATATGGCTACACCTTGTGCTGTAAGGTGGAACAAGCCCATTAAACTTCTTTAGTTGCTTTGTATTTCTCCTACGGAGCCTTTGCTCGTGTCTTCCAGCCACATGAGCTTTTTATCATCCATAATAGTCGATATACTTCACAGGAAGGAGAGCTCAGTAGCAGTCTAGAAAAGAGTTTTTTTGGTTTTATAGGGGCAGCCAGTAACTGCTTGTCTACCTATGTAGTATTCCTGTAGCAATCGTGTTAGTATTGTTTCCTCAAGTTTTTGAGAAGTTAACTGTCACATCTGAACGCTGTACCTGAGCTTGCGGTTTGTCCTTGCGTAGCGCTGTGTGCCTACGTGCCCGGTAGTTACCTTCACGGGGCCTTTGTGAGGGTTTCCCAGCCCTGGTAGCATCTTGCTGTACATCTCATCCTTTCCTGTCCTCTTTCGTTTTCCTCCTGCCCTCTTCATGCCACAATCCAAATCTGCTTCTTTGTCCATTCTCTCTTTTTCTTTCTGTATTTACCCTTTTCAGCTTTCATCACCTTCTTTAAAGGCTTTGCCTGTATACTATATCCTTTTGCCTGCCTGGGCAAGAAACCGAGGGAGTTGACGTGGTAGCCATGTTTGCTAGAATACCCTAGCCTTGGTTAACTTTACACATGGAAGTAACACCATTAAAAGTTTCTAAGGAATGGATGATGATTTTAGCTTTAGTCCTGGAAAGTAAGGGACACAAACGGTGGTTATGGATATGAGACTATACCCATGTATCTCTTAATGGGTATTTACCCATTATTACATGCCTTAAGGCTTGCAGTCTGTTGGAAGTTTTCACTGGCATCTTTATTTAAAAAAAGAAAGGTGGTGCGAAGGAGGGGGGAATTGAGTCAGTGACACTGCGTTGAGATGTGGATTGCTCATTAATTTTCTTTTAGTGTGCCCACTAATTTCTTCTGGATGCTGAAAAAGAGGCTGTTGGTGCGTGTGCCTGAGGCTGGTACCGCTAGCGATAACTAAATGATGAATATGCAACTATGCTTTAGTTTCTATATAGAATCCCCTTCCCTAGATCTTATGGCTTATAATTTCACGTTAATAAGAACAAAGCCAGCTTTCTCTTGTATCGGGACCTTGTCTTATTTCCCTGATCCGTAGGGGTGCGTTTGGAAAGGTGCTGACTGAGACGTGATTAGACTAGAGATTTAACTTTCTTAATAAGAGCTGCTATTAGGCTGGCTTTCAAATCAGTAAATGTAAGTAGGTGAATAGTCAGTGTTGCCACTTAAAATCTAAAGGTTAAGACCAATCTTTTTCCTGTCCTTTGTTTAGATTAGAGAGGGTTTTATTTCTTTGGAGCAAAATGGGCAAATAGTATTTAGAGTATTATTAGAATCATTATATCACTGTCGTTGGTCCTGGGGTTGCCAGGCCTTTTCTGATTATCAGATGCAACAAATGACGTCCAATTTTATTGACCAGTTTGGCTTCAACGATGAGAAGTTTGCTGATCAAGATGACATCGGCAAGTGAGTATTAACCTTACGCTGGCTTTGATTATAGTCTTGGGAATTTTCTTTTTTTATTGTGTATTTGATTGTGTTTTGACGATAAACAGCAGCCTTTATTGATGTGGAGCAGCCACTAATGAGTCCTGTCTTTTTTGTACCAACTGTGTGCATAAATTGATTGAGTGCTCTTAAAGAGCCTCCCTGAACAGTTCAGAGAGGAAAGCAACAGCTTATTCATTTCTTTCTTTTCTTTTTCTTTTTTTATGCCCGGGTTGTGCCAGCATGGGAACACAGCGCTCGTGAATTAAGTAACTAAATTACAGTTGCCGTGTTTGGGGGCACTTCAGCTGTTGTCTGTTGTGTCTCAGAGCTATCCTGCCTCTGAATCTACGTACCAGACCAGATGTATAGCTCTACTTTTAAGTTTGCCTGGAAAAGATGGCAGGGCCAACACATCCATGAGTGTTCCTTACTGTCTTCCTACAGAAAAGAAGGGCATCATAAATCTCCCTTTGGTTTAAGGGCAAGGCGGTTCAGACAGATTTCTACAGTTAAGAGTAAACAAAGGAGAAATGAGAATGGTCTTGGTCCGGTTTAAAAAAAGTATATCTTTTTATTTTTTTTTCAGCTCAAAGTAAGCTGATGCAGTAATGGAAAGGGAATGAATGGGAGTACTTGCTGAAAACAAAACTGATTTTGACTTGACTAGAATTCATGGATTAGGATGCTAGAAAGAGTAAAATGTATTACTTGAAGGTGGTTTCTAGACGAGCAAATGAGTTAAATGTAAAATCGGTTCTGGTAGCGTGGCTATGAGCGTGGTTACGACACAGTGCTTTTCTGTAAGGCAGTATCAGTAGGTGATTATTAACTGAAGTTAATAGCTGGGGTTTTATCACATAATCAGCTGAGGCTATGGATGAAGAGATATGCCCTTAAGAGAGGCAGGTGTGTGGGGAAGGGAGGGAAAGCAACTGAAGATACTGTTTAACTTGATTAGAAGCAGGAGGGTTTTGGGGGAGGGGGGTGTAGGAGGAGAAATGTTAGGATCAGGCCTTCAGTAGCACGTGATCCTACTGGAAAGAAGCTCACCAAAGTGTTGTATAAGCACATCTCTTGAGGAATGTGGTAGGTACGCTAATGCACATACTGGTTGAATTCAGCTATTGATGAAGTGCCTCTTACTTTAAAGGTGTGTGTGCCTGTCTGTGCAAGAATCAATTGCAGCTGCGATTATCTGCTCACTGGTGTGCAGGAATTTGCACGCTAGCTCAGCGCTCTGATTCCGATAACTTTCTATATTGGGATATTGTCTAAATGATTGAATTAGAACTTGATTCCTATCAGAAGTCATTACGGTTGCAATTCTGTAGATCACTTAGCCTTGTTCCCTAATTGGTCTGTAATGCAGTGAGGATTAAGGGAAGAATTGTACGCGCTCAGCTGAGTGCGCTGCTATATGTGGCTACAGAAAGAATGTATTAACTCTTCTGAAAGTCTGGTAGAATTTCCCGCCTCTTTCTCCTCTGCTGCTGCTTTCTTCCCTGAAAGGCTTAGTTTACTTAATGCAGTTTTTAATATAGAACACATTTATTGTTCATTTGGTGAATCTTTAGGTGGCTTCCTATACGAAGAGTTTAAAGGCGTTAATATTTAGTGTTCAGCTGGGGGAGGGCTAACCTCTGTTCAGTGGTTGGTTTAAAAATAATGGAAGATCTTCAGCTTTCTCTTTAAGAAATGGAAGTTGGTGTTGTGTTTTTCACTTTGCCTCTTGTTGAGCTGATCCTTCTGTAGAGTGGTGAAATCAATTAGCAGAAGTCAGAACTGCTCGTGTGGATCTCCGCAGGATTTTGAGATGTGTCATGCTAGTGAGTAGTCAGCTTAGATGACCTTTAGGTCCAGTTGCTGCCTTTTTTCCAGTGCATAACAGTACATGTCCATGCAGCTAATCACAGGATAGAGACATCTTTCTTTTGTACTTTTAAATAAAATATTTCACAGTTAGAAAAAACACGTGAATGCTGGGCCTCCTCAATGCAGAGGCTGACTGTTCTTTCTGTGTTGAAAACTACTACGTCTTTAATTTTTCTTTTTAGATTGTCAGAAAATGAGAAACTTAAGGTTTCTGAAAATGAAATGTCTTTGTTTCTACATCATCTTTTTTTCTGTTTTATTGCATATATCTCTGCTTTTTTGCAGTGTTTCTTTTGATCGGGTGTCAGATATCAACTTTACTCTCAATACGAATGAAAGTGTAAGTATGTGTTCCTATACTCTCACAACTCCAGTGTCTGAAAGAGGACAATTGCTGCCTTTTAAACTTCCACACGACCTCAAAGTTTTGGTCGTGGTTGATGTTATACTTACTCCTTTATGATATGTCGTCTTTGGAAAATGGCTGCCTTACCTTGTTCCTGTAGCATGGGATTTTCTCATTGGGAAACTTTATGGCTGCTCTTTGTGGTCACTGTTAAACAGAACCGCTTCTAATTTGCGTGGCCAGGCTCGGGAACAGGCTTGGCTCTGATCTGTGCAGACCACGCGCGTGAGTTTCTGGGTGGAAGCTGGTTCAGCCTTCCAGTGAAAGTGTGGCGACAGGGAAGTAAGGACAGGGTTTAATCCTAGAAACTTGTCTGTGGAGCCGAAGTGAATCGCACTACAGAAAATAATCTGAAAAGCTCTTTGATAGCCTTCTGCAAGCTTCCATCATATATAAGAGTGGCAAGTAAGCTGTTTTTGGATGATGGCACACTCGATGTGTTAGCAGTAAATGCTAGAACAAGCACCACTGAATATTTTATTGACAAGCTTCAAGTTGTCAAGGCAATCTGGTTTTTTTACTGCTTTTGAGAAATCATTTTGTTGACAGGGTTAAGATTATCTTGTAATAGAAGTCATTATGTGTTTCCAAATTGCTTACCGAAATAAATAGTATTAGATAATCATAGATACAGAGTCTATTCTTTTTTTATATATATTTAGGGTAATATAGCCTTGTTTGAGGCATGCTGTAAGGAGCGGATACAGCAGTTTGATGATGGTGGCTCTGATGAAGAAGATATCTGGGAAGAAAAACATATTGCATTTACACCAGAATCCCAGAGGCGTTCCAGGTAACTCTTTTCCTCTCTTATCCAGACAGTACTATAGCAAACCATCACTACTGAGTACATCTTCTGCTTCAGGTTCACACAAAGACTGTCTGGCATAACTAAATATTTCGGTTAGTCTTGGAGAAATGATTAGAGGGTTGGGCCTAGTGAGGATCTCCTCCAGCTTTAATCTGCAGAAGGCAGCAACAGCTCTCCTGCCTATTCAGTTGTTCCAGTACCTCAGCTCTCATAGCTCTCAGGCCTTCTGAATGCACGTAGCTGGAAACTTCTCCACAAGATTGCTTATATCGCTCCTGCCTCCTTGTGTCATGGCTGCAAACATGACGTGGTTCAAAGGCATCTTCATCTTCTGACGTTACCTCGGTGTTAGTGTTGGTGGTGCCAGTGGTGCCCTCCGGGAAGGGAGAGACTTCCAGTGGGTTCAAAGGAAGTGTGTAGTTAGGAGGGGCTGGACCGTATCCTGGGACACTTGGCTTGGTTGTCAGATTTCAAAATAAATTGAGCAATGTCTTGTTAGATGGTGTGGGGAAAAAAATTTGTATTTAGGCGCTTCCTCTGGCGCGTGCCTATCTAGCAGGGAGAGAGCGAACAGATCTTTTTCTGTTCAGAGATCGTTGGTCTGACTCCTTACTCTCCTCTTCTGCTTCCTTTTGCACGGCAGCGGTGATGACAATCTGCTTCCCTTCTCTTACGAGAGGGAAGAAAACGCCTCTCTACAGGATGAAATGAAAAATCTAAAACCGTGTTTCTTGGGGGCTGAAATTGGGGGAGGGGGATGCTAACAGCTAATGAATTATAACTCAGTTAATCTTTCAGAATTGATAGTTGTAGGGTGTTTTTTTTTTTTTCCTCTCGAATTCACCAGTGTTTAACTGTGCCCAGGGCAGTTAACAAAGTTAAACCACAGTGTGACTGATCCTAATCACAAATATAAACAATTTTGTTGTTGTTGTTGTTAAGTTCGGGCAGTACGGACAGTGAAGAAAGTACGGACTCTGAAGAAGAGGATGGAACGAAACAAGACTTATTTGAATCCCATACCAATACAGAGGACAAAATGGAAGTAGACTTAAATGAACGTAGGTAGCTTTTATCCAAACTGCTGAGTTACAGAAAGTGTTAGCTCTAGCAGTGTTTTGTAGTTGTTCTCTTAATTTTTTTATTTCAGCCATCTTGAAAATTTTTTATTTGTTTACTGTAAAGACTGATAACAGAGAGCATGCAAATATTGAAGTTTGAAATCCTTACGTGTCCTCAGTCAAATTACAGTAGTCTCTCCAAAATTCAGGTTTTTCCTCTTAAGGGAGGGAGGGGGGAAAGGGGGAAGGGGGGGGGAAGAGGAGAAGGATGCAACTTGAACACTGACCCATTTTGAATGCCTACAAAATTGATAGGCTAGTCATCTTAACGCTTAAAATACTGTTACATTTACTGGAAGCCTTTCAGACCAACTTCTACCTTACAGTGCTCTCTTAAGACTTCCAAACAAGCCAACAAATCCAGGTTGGTCTAGTTTCATGTGTAAATCCTATGTTTAAGATGTGCATCAGACTCTTACATGGAAACTTAACTCACTCACTTTTACAACAGTTCCATCACTTTTCACATACAAGTTACAGTAGACTAAACAGGCTTTAGTTAAATTGGCAACATCTGTAGGTAAATAAGCCTGTGTGGTGGTTTTATATAGACTGTAAGGAAATAAAAATTAAAATAGAAGGAAAAGTTAAGGGTTTTCTTTTCTTTTGTCAGATTGGTGTCGTTGGCATCTGTGTGTCAAACAAGTTTTGATCCATGTGGGTCTCCTCACATATCTGCCTGGGCTGGAATTTCTAATTGCTAGTCAGAGCTTCCTTTTCAGCCTGTTTTTTTGTATGTAAGTGTTAATGACAAAAACATCTCCCTTGGGTAGGTGAAGTATTCTGAATTGACCTATCCTAAATTAGATGCTTTTAAGTCAAATTTGCTCCAGGAATTAAAATCCCAATAAATACTTAGAGTTTCAGAAAAGCTTAAGGTCTTTTTGAACTTAGCAGTGCTGTTAGTGCATGAGAAATTAGTGTGTCCATACTTAAGTTGGCTCGCTCACTTTCCTCCTATGTGGAGGAAAATGTGCCTAGGAAGTGGTGAATAAGGGATGAAAATTCTTAAGATTTAAAGTTTATGTATTGTTATTTTAGAAGTTAGTGTTGGAGATGATAAATGTTGACTTTTAGGTTAAAGATTAAAGTGGGATTACACTTAGGATCTAATATGGTTAATTGTTTGTGTTCTTCAGATGAGTTGTATTGTCTCTTGCAGAGTACTGTGAGTTACTGCTATTAAAATTCTGCCTTACCAGCAGAATTTCTCTTAAGAAATGCATTTACTTTTTGACAGCATACAGAGAAGTTCTGCATGTGCGTTAAAGTCTATAGTTAGGAATTGCGCTGCTTTTTTTGGGACGTGTATAGAGAATCGGTACATTAAGGATATGTGTGTTCATGCTATTAATAGAAATCTGTTGCTAATGACCTTGTTGATTGTTTTTAGCACCGAACTGGTCAGCTAACTTTGACGTACCTATGGAGACTGCACACGGTGCCAACCTGGACTCTGTTGGGTCTGATGTGTGGAGTACAGAAGAACCTATGCCAGCAAAAGAAACTGGCTGGGCTTCCTTTTCAGAGTTCACGTCGTCCCTGAGGTAAGAACATTAGTGATTCAGGGCAAGCTCTAAAGTGCCATATATAATGGAAGCTGCCATTTGGGGTGTCTCTGCCCGAGCCTGTGCTGCAGTATTTCAGTGGAGTACAGGGTGTATGGTGCCCGAAGGGGGGCACCGTATAACAGTAGAACTTTGTGTGATCTGATTATAACATAGTTGCTTTTTGTAGGGTGAGTGGACCCTGAAGTGCCATTGTCTTAGAGTTGTTGTTTTGTAGGTTTTTCTCCAGTGATGTTTGGGCCCTTGAATACTAGGGTGTGATATTTATTTATTGACTTATTTCAAGAAAGGGATGTGATCATGGAATGGGAAGGCCACAAAATGTCTGTGATGATCTCGAACACCCAAAAACCAGAACCAAGTGTGTTCTGAAAACCACCTGGTTTTGCAAGCGTGATACCTAGGTTAGGCTGCCCTGCAGTATTTTGAGAATGCCTGACAAAAGCTTTCCTTTTTTGGCTTGAACACTGTACAGATGACTTTAGTTACTTTCGATGCGATGAGGAGGTCACTAGTTAACCTTATAGGTACAAATCTTGACTTGCCAAACGTTAGCAGTCAAGAACAAATATCTCTTCCAATCAGAAAAGCATTGCCTCTGTGCTTCTGCCTGGAAGCACGTAAAACTATGAATTACTGTTCTTATTTTCATTTATAGTCCAGTAACACTTCTGACTTCCACCATAAAGCAGTGTTTTGTTTCATGTTTGGGGCAGGTAAGTTGTTTTTTTTAAAAAACAAAAACAAAAAAGATGATGATTAGTTTGGAAAATGAAGACTTGGAGTTGCAGCATTAGTGGATAGAAAAGACGTTATTCTGTAACTGGGGAGAAGTGAATTAAGTGTTTTCAATGGTCAAAACTTGATGTCCCCTTTGGGTTCTGTTGGAACGACTTGTGACTGTTCTGTAGATACTGTTAGAAAAGCAAATTGCAGTATAAACTCACTTCTGCAGTTGGTGATGATAGAGGACTGTGTTGGCAGTCTCTGCAGAAAACTATCTTTGGATCTTTCAGGTTCCAAAGAGAATGTGCTCAAAAAGACAGTTGATGTTAGAAACATGTTGTGAGGAGCCAGGAATACTTGGTATGCCATATTTAGCCAGGAAGTTTCCACTACTACGTTTAATCACAACAGACAAAAATAAAATACAACCAAACAAATGCTCAACGAGCTCAGTTCTGGTGTTTTTTGCATTACCCAAGTTCTGTGCTTAGCGCACCTTTGCAAATTTGTAGCAGTCTTGGTATCATTTAGTTCCAGTTGAGTTCTACATCTCATAGCTGTGATAGAACTAAAAATACTGTTTTAAGAGCAAGTTTCATTCCACTGTTCAGAAACGTTTCTAAAACTGTTTTTATTTTGTATTTGAAGTTCAAAAGACTCCTTAAGAAGTAATTCTCCTGTGGAAATGGAAACGAACGCTGAGCCCATGGATCCCTTGAGTGCAAACGTAACTGCTCTTGCAACACAGCTGGAGAGTAAGTACACTTAAACGTGCAAGCAAACTGATAGTAAGAGTTGTGCCTGAGAAAGACCTGCCTGAACTTTAAAATGCAGGTCTCCTGAGGCCTCTCAGGCTCTGCTGCTGTTCTGCCAAATAATGAAAATGACTTGTCAAAGGCAATCGGAACTTCAGTTTTCATATTTAAAACAAACTGGTGGTACTGTTGTCTTAAAAATGCTTTTATGTCGTGAACAGAAAAGCATTACATGGAAGCTAACTGTAGCGTATTAGAGACGCCTCATCTGTGGCAGTGCTTAATTAGCTGAAGTGATGCCCCGGAAGAGCTGTGGCATCTAGTCTCTTCCTGTGTGGCAGTAGACCTGTAGCTTCAAATCTCCCCTTCCTGCTCCTTCCTTTCCCACTTACTCCCCTGTATGCACACTCTCATTCTTTCTTCCCTACGTATGTGAACTGATTAAAGGCCAGACCTGTATTAACTAACTTTCTGCATGTGTTACTAGCACACAGAACAGGAAGTGCTGAGAAGTCCAGCCTCTTTGGACTTCAAACCTAAGGCTTGTCTATACTCAAAAATTTATCAGCAACTTTGTACCTTGACTGTGTGGACTTTCTTGTGCAGTAATCGTGACCCTACAGAAAACTATGTCACTAATTCTACTAATCTCCTGTGCAGACAAACCTATTTCAGTAACCGTTGCCAATCGAAACCACTAACTGGCTTGCCAAACGGAAGAACAATAGTTATGGCATGTTTGGGGGCGTTCCTTAAACCCTCTGTAAGAAGTACTTATGCAGTATGTATGTGTACAGTGGGAAGCTGCAGAAAGCTGGTAACTGTGTAATGAAAGACTTGAGAAGTGTACAAAGCTGCAGGAAAAACTGATTCTAGCTGTACTGGATCCTCTGCTTGCTCATGAAATACAAACATAACACGGAAGTGCTTCTTGATATCTAGCCCCAGGAAGTGTTGCTATGGAGGCCAGCTCAGATGGAGAGGATGATGCAGAAAATGCAGACAAGGTAACTGAAACAGTAATGAACGGCAGCATGAAGGAGACACTGAGCCTTACTGTAGATGCTAAAACTGAAACAGCTGTCTTCAAAAGGTGAGAATACCCCTTTATTGTCTTCTACCCTTTTAAAATAAGCACCGTTGATGTAACGTTACCTGTCTTCAAGAACAGTTCTGTACAAGTAATAATTCCGAAGGCTTTGACTGGAAACTTTTTTCCAAAATAACTACCTTCTACAACTTTACTTCTGATTCTAGTTACTGGAACATAGTTTTCCTTATCACGCTTTAATATGCATTGAGAGGTTTTAAATGAAGCTGCCCAGAAGACTGTGGCTAGCTTTGCGATAACTTTTAAGCCTGATGTATTTCACACATTAAAGCCAAAGCATTTCAAGCTTTGCACAGAGTTGTTGGTTTTCAGATTGGAATTTGATCTTCCTCATCCAAGAAGGCCACCAGGCACTGCTCCTGAGAGTAACTCATAGGACCCTTTGGGTGATAGCTGATACTGGTGTGGGTGATGATGTCAAATTTGTTCTGGACTGTAGGTGGCAGGTAGAATTTTAGAATAACTGAAAGAACAAACCTTTTAATTTTGGTAACTTCTGATACAAAGTGTTTGACTTAGGAGTGGTGATCTTATAACATGGTTACTCGCCATAAGGCGTATGTTGACGCGATGGCCCTTGTATGGGAATAAAATGTATTTCTATCTTGTATGCTAGGTGTTAGGTGAAGTGATCCAACAGTTATTTTTCGTATCAAAGCATTAGGAAAACTGAGGCAACAATCAGTCTGACCGGCACAGATCTTTTTGACTATGTTCCTTGAAGCTGCTTTTTCTTCCCCATCTTGAGAGATTAAATATGTTGTTAGCATTGGGGTATCCAGCCCTCTCTTCACTCTTGCAGAATTGTTTCCTAGTATCTGTCCCTTTTCCAGCTTTAAAATTTGAAGACAAAAACCAACCCTATGTCTTGGGAGTTGCTTCCAAGAACTAATCCATCTCAGAAGACGACTGTCATCCTTTTAAATTCATTTCACTTCTAACCGTCCCCTGTTTGTGGTAGTAGGTAACTGCTGTTAGCTCTGGATGCTTCAGGAGTTGAAACATAACAACAACATTCAGTCACTCTTGTTTCCATCCATTTAACTACACAAGCAATAAATTGGGTTTCAAATATTTAATCCCCTTTAGCACCTGATTAACTTCAGGTGTTTTCAGTATGGTGGGGAGAGTGTTTCTCTCTATAGGCACTGTGCCTATAAATCTAACGGAATTGTTAGAGGAATTGAACCACAGCCGTTTAGAGGAGGGATGTGATGATGACGTAGCATGAACCTTTAGTGGCTTTTTGACCTAGTGTTTGAATAAATGATGCATCTTCTGCCCAGTTTATTTTCTATTTCAGGTAGTATTTTTGTTTGCATCTTTATTCTGGTGGATGTTTAGATTTTTTGCCTTCCTAAATTGCTTCAGTTCACACACACTTCAAAACTCTGTGGCTTCCAATATGGCTGGGAAGGCTAAGTTAATGTTAGGAGGTAATATGTGATGGCAGCTCCTGCCTCCCTTCATGGAATTACTTATCTGAGCGGAGGGGTCAGCACTTGGATTCCTGCAGTTAGAAGGATGCACAGGTGGAAAGGGAGAGACTACAAATCTGGGATCTTCACTGGGGGGATTTGCACCTGGCAAAGTGGGATACTCCTGTCCTTGGGTTTTGTTTAAATATTTGCCAATAAAAAAATTAGTGGTTATGAGGTCAATGTTGGGAGGAAGGGAGCATCATAAGGTAGGTAGGAATGGTTAATTTGCAGAAAACTGTGGAGGGGTTTGTGGGTGGGTGGGTTTTTTGGTTTTGTGTTTTTGTGTGTGTGTGTGTTTTTTTTTTTTTGTAAAACCTAATGAAGCAAGGAAGGATGAGACTAGAAACTTCCTCTTTTAAAAAATAATAAAGGCAGGAGGTGGAGGGGATGACTACCCAGCCAGAGTTTCCGCAGGGAGTATTACTGGTATTTTGAACAAATACAAAAATACAAATACAAAAAGTGTATCCAGAAACCTGTTTTTCCCCCAGAACTTGCAATGCAAAAGAATATTTTAATAGGTTATTTAAATATTTAAGAAGATGTTGGAGGAGAGGAAGGTCAGTTGAAAGGAAAAAGGATCTGTTGAAAGGAAAACTCCAAAAAATAATAAGAGAAATCAGCAGAGGATAGTTTTTTTTAAATATTCATGATGTTTTACGTATGTAGATTTGTTGCTACAGAGAGGAAAGATTGATCCTTTTGCTTTCTTTAGAGCTACCTTATGTCAGGCTCCTGGTAGATGTACAGCCAAACTTGACTGTTAGTGTGGTGACAGTGGTTTTTTGGAGGGGGGGGGGGGGGGGGGAAGTGGGATAGAGAGGCAGAAAAGCTTCATTTTAAAGGCAAGACACAAGCATGCGTTTACCAAGCGCTCTTGAGCCTGCCTAGTTACAAAGTCGCATCTTGTCTAGTGTGTATGTATTGCTTGTTCATGGAACTGCATTTGGTTTTGGCCCTGAGAGGGGAGGTTTGTGAAACAGGGCTGCTGTCAGTCCCGCCTAACATGCTTGTTTCATTTCACTATGGAGGTGTTGGAGTTTAATAAAGGTGATGTTGAGTTAATGACCTGGCTCCTCTGTTTTCATGGACAAACTTTATTGATGCCAGTTTCTAAGGGAATCTTGAAAATCTTTTATACCTCTTTCCTTCCATATTGCATACTTCTGGCTTCAGAGTGTTGAAATCCTATCGGTATGTACAGTAAAGGATCGTGACTGTGATTCTTACCGCTTCAGGCATTACACGCTTTCCCTATTTCCTCTCTGATCTTATTTGTAATCATTGCATTTCCTGCCTCCTTTTCCAGTCAAATTTTAATGGATGTGAACACCAGTGCATTATTGGATGTTTGCAAAGTCCAGAGCCATGTTGCTTGGTCTTCATATTTCAGTCATAAATCAAAATCCATTTGCATGTGAAATACAAACCCTTCTCCCAGTTTCATACTGTTGTGTGACAGTCCCTGTAACTAAAATGAAAACTAAATAATTTGTTTCGTTTCTTCAGTGAGGAAGGAAAACTGTCTACCTCGCAGGATGCTTCTTGTAAATACGTGGTGGAGGAGAACGCAGAGGTTGCGGAAGAGGCTCCTTCTACTCTACAGCCTACTAGCAGCAGTCCAGAGCAGAGGTAACTGCATTCAAGGGTGCTTTCAATCCTCTGAGCAGCAGTGGACGTGATTTTCTAATAGGGCTGATGGAAAGAGACTCCTTCGTGTCTGTTTTGATCAGCTCTAGTTTAATTCCTTCTAAATTCACTCTTGCATCTATTTTATAAAACTCTTGTAAGTAGTGTTTTTTTACAGATACTCCTGAGTTGTGAAGTTTATTTACCTTGTCTTGTAGGATGTTGTAAATATCCTCTTTCTGTGTTGTGATTATATATTAGGAGTTGGAGTAGCGACTTGGCACAATTGTGAAAAGTGCGTTCAGGGGGATGGGAAGTTTAGCAGATTGTTTGACTTTGTCCTGAGAAGTCACATAAACTAGGGCTATTTTTCTTCTAACTACAGAACAGTTGGGGGAATCCATGAATGCAGCTATGTGGAAAGGAAATGGTGCCTTAAGTTACACTTGACTGTGGCCAGTCAAATAATTGCTTCTAATTTTGAGTGAGTTGCTGTTTGTACCCTTGTCTTTATCTGATGTTAATCTGAATGCTTGTAGATTTGGACAGACTGTTCAAAGTATGTAAGCCGTTTGTTTCAAATAAAATCCTCTTGAAATACGGAGCAACCTGGATTGTTCAGCATGCTTGTCGGAGGAAAGAAATGAAGACGTTTTTCCTTGGCAGCTTGGCTAGTAGTGCAGTTTTCGGAGAACAGTAATTCAAGATACAATTCCGGAGGGTACTGTCACCAAACAGAGAAACGTAAATGTTTATTTTAAATGGTGAAGTAGGACTGCTTCCTCCAGAAAAGGCAACTGGTAGTGTTTTTTCCTGTTTTGTTTCATGTTGAAGTACTTGTTTTGGCTTATTGTTTTTGCCTGCCAAGTTGTAGTGAAAATCGGAAGCAGTCAGAATCACCTTGAAATGTAGTACAGCTTCACTAAAGTCAAAAGCACATAGAGTGAGATTAATCACCAAGCGTTAGAAAGATTTAATGCAAGTCTTTCACATCTGAGCTATTTTCTAGACTTTAGTGAGGGGAGAAAACTAGGTGCTTCTCGCGCAGGATTCATCTTAAACTTCCTTCAGAAGCCTAAAATAGTGAAGAACTTAAATCTAGATGAGAAGGCCACCATCCTTGAAGACAGTGTTCCCTGCAAACCTTACTTGGGAGCTAGGTCGGAGCCGCATCTGACAGAAGTAGCTTTCAGCTTCGTTGCTGAGGGCAGAAACGTGGTCAGCTAGTCCACCCGGGCTATGCAGCTCAACACAAGGTGGGGAGAGCTTCATTTCCCATTTCCTAGAACACTTCAAATTCAAAATTCTTTGTAATTAATCTCTAGACAAGAGTTTAGTGTTTTCCTACTGGAAATAACGTCTTGTTGCACATCAGGGTAGTGGAACCCCACAAGCTTGACTTCTTGTTTTAAGACTACAAGTACAGTACAATTTCCTGCTCCATGGATGCCCAGAGGAGCTGTGCTGCCTCAAAAGTCACGTAGAAGGAGAACAAATACTGTGTACTTGCCCCCCTATACCCTGAGCAATCCGTAGGGCTTTGCTGCTCTGCCCGCAGGGCAGAGCGTGGCAGCGCTTGACGGGGTGTCAGGGCTGTGCCTGCTGCCCTCTCATCAGAGCTGAGGGTTTGTGAGAAGGGAGAGAGGATTATAGTTAGTTAAAAGCAATTCCAGGAGTCAGTTTTGCTTTGCAGTATAAACAGGGCTATGACTCTGAATGTGTATTTTCAATTTGTAATGAACTAGTTGAATTTTCAAAGCTGTGGTGTTTCTTCAACTTCTGTAGATTTTGACTGTTACTTGAAAAACTTGGTATTTCTGACAAAGGTGTGGAAGTCTTCTGTGAAAGAAGTAATCATTTTTAAGACTACGTGGACACTGTATTTATACACCTAGTTTACTGTTGAAGACAAAACTGCAATGCTTTTATAGGCAAAGACTGAGTATAGCTCTCGGTATGCATATTTTAATGTGGAACTCTGCTGCATGTTGCGATTATCCCTTGTGCGGACTGTTTAAGAAAGATGCCAAGCTATTTGACCAAGTTCAGATTCTGTTCTTCTGTGACCCATTTGAGCAGGTGTGTTTTAGCTCAGTGGTACTGTTTTCCACTAGAATGCTGCTACCTTTTTCTGCAAACCGGAACTTTCTACTTGGACGTTTTCCATAAATTTAGCCACGAAACGGATTCTAAATGAAAAACCTGTATATTTTAGTTAAAGCGGGGAAACCCAGAGACCCCACTTTCACAGCCCCTTTTTTTTCCGAAGGTACTATTTTTATCAAGAGGATATTCGCTTATCTTGATAAGCGTTACGTTGTAGGGAAGAAAAAAGGCCTTGGATACTAGGCGATTGCCTCATGAGGAACGGGCTGCCTTTCTAAACCGGCAGAGGGCTCTCGTAGCTAGCAGTTGCTGGGATTGCTTTTGAGTTCCCTGTAAATCTCTGCAGGACTCCGTCCGGTGAACCCTGCTGGCTCCAGCAAAGCTCGGTGCTTTCTCTAAAGGTGGCTGTCACAGCAGATCCTCATGGGAGCGCAGTATGAATATCTAGATGAATTTCATCGTGCTTTTGGGGCTCCATGCATGTATGACTGGTGCGAGGAGTCCCCTAGGTAGGTCTTTGGCTGATAGCCAGCAGTAACCATCTCTGCTAGGAGCCCTGTTTTGTCACAGTGTGTGGGGTTGTTTTTGTTTTTTGTTTTTTGTTTTTTTTTCCCCCCCAGTTGGCAGTAAATGACTTAACTGCTGCCGCTGTATGGACTGCCAGGCCTCCTGTCCATGCAGCACTTGTCTCTTACCTTCCAGGTTTCTCCAAAGTGTTTAACTTTGTCTGGCGCTTTCTTGTCTCTTTTCTAATGTGTATGTATTTTTTTTTTTTAAAAAGTGTTTTTAGTGCTTAGCAGCCAAAGACTTAGCTAGGGGACTCCTGCTGGTCATGTGCATGTAGAGCACGGACCCAAGAGTGTGGCTTCTCTGTGATGTACACCATCAGAGAACAGGAGTTACAGGTAACTTCCTTCATATTTAGTTCCAAATGGTATTTAGTCTTTAAAGGAAGTCTCTGAATGCATTCACTAGAGATGCACTGAATGGAAGTTGAGGATTTTTTTGCTTTTGTTCCTTGAAATTCTTAGTGCACAGCTGATTGATCTCTTCATTTGCATTAGCCTAGGAGCAAGTGAGCCTGCATGTTTGTGCTGAACTTGCTCTTAAACAACAGTACGCAGCCTTCTGTATTTCTTTTCACTCCTGCAGGTTTGCTCTTTATTCTCTTTCCATGCTTCCTGAGCCTTTCACACTAATGGACTGAAATTCAAAGTATTTGTGAAACAGCAGCTTTAGATTGGATTAGTAACGAAAGCAATTTTTAAACGCCTTTTTTTTGTTATGTCTTTGCATTTGAAAATAAGTATCTTAAGTACTCTTGGTATCATGTTTTGCCTGACAGAATAAGAGGCAGAAAAGTATCAGAAATGCGCTTTTCTTAGCGATTTTCTCAGGAGGGTATCTGTGTTTATAGAGATCATCCAGTTTTTTCAATTAACTTTAATAAAGATCAAGCGCTCTTCACTGGCGTGCTTCGTTGATTTGAAGTGCTATGCTTAATTAGGCAATGAAGGGGTAATGCTGGCCTCAAGAAGAGGAATGGGCCAGAGTGGTGTTAGCTGCTTGTTCCCTCTTTCCAACTTGGTAGAGTTCTAGTCTGAAAAGACTTTTGTGATGCATGATTTTGGGTGGGTTTTGAGCTCATCCAAGTTTATTCTGGTCCCTTCTTGTTTCTTGCACACTTATATCCTTTTTTGGCCTCTTAGGACTGATCAGCGCACCCTTTTAGGAGAGACTTCTGTTAATGGCCCTGTATGATATGTGATGTCTACTGCTGTTGGCCGAAGAAAATGAACTGATATCCAGGGGTTTGAGTGTTTCTTGAGGATTTCATCTAGAGCCTGTTGAAGCCAGTCACTGCTGCACTAATTTCGCAAGGGATCAGGACCAGCAACATTTATATTCTAGATTTTAAGACATTGTACAGAAATTCATAAGTGTAAAAATATTGCACATTGAGAAATACCAATAATTTTTGCGTATGTTTATATTGTATTGTTCTAAATAATGGGTGGCCTGTGAAATAAGATCTTGCCACCCGTGTAATGACAGTAGTGTTACTATAGTTAAAATGGCTGTAAGAATAGTTTTATAAAAAAAAGTGAATACACAAATCTAATGTATTTGAGACATAACTATTTGACAATTAGTGTGACCAAAGTATTTAGCAGTTTTCATACATTTTTCACCTTGTAAAAAGAAAAAAAGAAAAAACTGAACTCATGTTTCTTCCAGGTTGGCGAAGAATTGTAGAACTGAAATGCCCTATAAATGTTATTTTGGTTGTTTTAGCTTACAAAAGTGATTTAAATAAGAATTTTTGGTGTTCAGCATTTTACAACAGGTTTTTTAATTGGTAATTGTTTTCTGTATTGTTTAAAACAGATCAAAAATGTAAGTCTATTGGTAGAGTTTTTAAGTATTTATTGCTACAACTTAGTTGACAAATTGATGTTACTGTAAAGCCATATGTTCTGTTAAGTCTTGTTTGCTTGAAACAATACCTTACAGGTGAAACACTAGAATATTTGAAGTGCACATGGCTTGTTGTGTTTTTTTTAAGTGATTCACCTGCCTTTTAACCCATTCACCAAGATTTACTTTAATACCAAGCATTATACAATGGAACATTTCAGAACAATCTGCGTATTTAAAACGCTGTAATCCTCTTAGACAAGTCAAGTAAATGAAATGCCCGTGCTGCTAATGTAATTACAGTACATGCATTTTAAAAGTATATAGTGGTTTTTTAATACAAATTTTGGCAGCAGAGCATGTTAATTGTTACTTTCACTGTACTGATCTGTGTGAAGCTTTCATTTGTATGTTCTAAACCAGTTTTTTCACAGCTGGTTTGTGTATATATATATAGTGATTATGGAAACTAATTCTGTGTAATTTATAATTTTCTATGTCAGTGTAAAATTCCAACAGCCTTCTCAAACAAACAGAAGCAATATACTGTATATTGCCACATTGTCTGGTGAAAGGGTTAAAGTACTTCACCTCCTGCACTTTTAGATGCAAATCCATTTTTATTTCTGTAATAGTTATATTCATTTATTTTTACATCATTTGTTTTCCTGACCAGTATTTAAAGCCAAAAGGATACTCTAAACAATGGCCAATGATTTATTTTAGAAAGTGTCCCAAGCAACGTGCCTAAACATTACATTGCGTACAGAAATAAAAAAAACAAATGTATAATGGCATTGCCCTTATTTCTTCCTGTCTTGCATTTCCCTCAGCAAACTTCAATGGGATTTGTCACTGCAAGCTGTCATAAACTGATCAGTTGTATGAAAATGGAGGAAGAAAACAAGAGGCAACCACGGTTACCCTTTTAATTTTGCATAAGTAATAGAATCCACTGAGTTTGCAAATTGTTCCTTCTTGAATTCAGAAGTACTTCCAGATCAGCTCTGCCAAAAATATTTGTATTAGCATTGAATATTTTAATGTACTACTGAAGATAGCGAGGTTGGCAGCTGTGCTCTTACTGTTTTCTGGTCTGCTATTGAGCAAGCTGTTTTGGAGCCCAAACCACTTCACTCCTTTCAGCTGGGAATTGGAAACCAGGTGGAAATTCCCCATATTGAGCCCTGTGGCCTGTTGTTTGGCAAAGTCTCTTAAGGTTCATTCTTCTTTCTGTTCATGGACTGTAGTATCAGCCCACTACCCAGTTCATGCTGGTGCTCAAGAATGAGAAAGGGGGATGTTTTGTCCCCTTTTTCTGTGTCTGAGCTGTAACATCAGTTGAGTGGCAATGGGAAAATTGTTGAGTGGAATTTCCTCTTCAGTGCAGTTTGTCTTCCGCTTAAACAGCGCACTGGAGGCAACCAGGCTGGCCCACCTAATGCCTATCCCAGTGGTCTTGAGGGTTCATCCTAGTTATTGCATTTGTTAGAGTTCTAACAACATGTGCAGGATGTGAGGTAAGCCTGAGATTAACCTGGGTTTGATGTGTGAGAGCTTGTTCTGAGGGGCATTATGGTATGATTTGCGCACAAAGTACAAAGACTTGGGGGGTTTTTTATTGCCTGTATGAGGAGGAATCCTGAACTTGAAGGGAAAGCTTTGGTGGGGGAAGGGGACACCCTGACACACACACACACACACTCACTCTCTCTCTCACTCTCTCCCCCTCCCCCCCCCCCCCCCCCCCCTCCCCCCCCCCCCCCCCTCTTTTTTCCAACACTTTATGCTGCTAACGTAGGCTGAGGAAGGTTTGGAGGTATTTGGAGAATTCTTCTGCACAGCAGTGTTACCCAACCTGTTTTAATCGCATTCAATTTACTTGTGGTAGAACTTGTTGTCTTACTAAATGTGATTTTGTAATGCAGTTGTAAAATGGACTAAGCTCTAATATTTTTGCACAGACTTGAGTTCCTATAGCATATTTAGCTGCATAGTTAGGATTAAATAAGCTTACTTTGGTATTGAAATATATGTATTATAATATTTCAAATGCTCTTTGAAAAGGCTAGAGGGTCATCACTCAGAACTGAGGAGTATTGATTTCAGTTGATGTCCAAGGATGATGATGGATTTAACCCTCTGGGAATTCTCTGGTAGAGGGTTTTTATTTAAGCAGGAGCGTGTGGCAGGAGTAGCCAGACCAGCAATAACTGCCTGCCTTCTCAGATCTGTCCCTTTGTTAAATAGCAGAGGGTGAATCTTGCCTTGTTGACCAGTTGCACCAGTGCAAACCTTCCCCCAGCTCTTTCTTCTTTTTTTAATTGTAAGCCTTGTACAAGATTTCATGGCAGAACTCTTCTGTTTAATTAAAGTATAAGATTTTTGGCTTGATTGCTTATTTAATAAAAAGATATATTGTTATTTTGCCCTGTTCAGCAAACGGGTAGGTAATCCCTGGGAAGACAACAGGATGGTAAAAACATTTTCATTACAGCTTTGTAAATGTATCCCATGCTCTTGAAACAATCACTATTCTACCTTCTGCTGGTAGGAAGCTTTGTATCTACCTCTTAAACAACAGTGGGTTCTGCATTGTATCAGCTGCATACTCCTGTGGAAACTCCTGTACAACGTTCATTCGGGGTGTGAATTCCAGTGAGGGTTTAAGAGCAGTTACTTGGAGGAATAATCAGGTCCAGTTATTATCTTTCATTATAAAGTTATTGCCCTGTTGAAATTAGGTTTAATTTCCTTGGAGATGATTTTGTTTTCTGACATGCATCTTGCACAGTTGTAGCAGGAAGTGTTGTATGTAGTTGATGGCTCTATTAATATACTTAAACAGATCACTTCTGACTGTCTCAAAATAGTAATGTCTCTTTTCCATGTAGCATGAGTGCTTCAAGCTTTGTTATAAGTGTCTGCATTTTGTTTCCTGTGCCAGAAATGGAAACTGGAGTAAAAGTTATTGCAGCAACAAATTTTTGTTAAATTTTTATTTTTTCTTTAGTTTATGCATCTTGCATTCTCTCTCATGAGACTCAGCTTGTCCCTTTGCTCAGGTAAAATTTGTCAAGCTGTGTTATTACCATAGCCTGTGGATGGTGATTAGGTCAGAAGATTGGTTGCTGATTCTCCAGGGTATAACGAAGATGCTCCGCTTTCGTGTTGGAACCTGTTGGTCACAGAGCTCCTTGGACTGCTTTTGAACTCCAGCAGGTGCTGCTCTCCCTGCCTTTCTTGACTGGGGGTGTGTGTGTGTGTGTGTATGTGTAGGCTTGGTGTAGCTGAAGATATTCTCTCATAAAAGTACTACTATGCTCTTAATAGTCTGTTTTGTTCGAGTCACGATAAAAGTTGTATTGCTCTCCTCCCCTACCCTATGCACCTCTTTTGAGGTTGTGGGGGGATGACTCTTAAGTGTGAGAAGGCAAGAACAATTTAATACATGGCCTATATCTGGTCTACACACCTATAACAATGTTTAGAAACTCTAAAATAAGCATAAGCTTTTCTATTGCCTATAGCTTTTCTATTCAAGAGAAATAAAGGTGATGTTTACTCTAAGCTGGCATGTGTTTACTGGATCTTCAGCTTTCCGAGTGTGTGTGCAAGAACTGCTCAGTGTCCTGCTGTCATAGCGGCTTCCAGAATGGCTGTGGATGGAACTGATAAAATACTGTATGAACTATACCACATGTATAATACATCAATCTTGGGTCAAATTGATTGGAATATGGCTCTTACTACAAGGCAGCACCCTATCAATAGTGACTAATACTCTTCCTTAAGGACTCTTGTAAGTCTTGTAAAGCAAGAGCTTTATCATCAGGGTAGTTTCTTGCAGGACTTAAGAATTAAGCAAGGGGAATAGGGCTGAGGCTGAGTGTGTTTTTTTTTTTTTTTTAATACACTCAATTGCAATTAGGGAGATGGACACAAAAGGTAATAACTTTGAATTATTTTTATGCTACAGGTGACTCTTGCTTTCTATATGTTAATCCTGGCAGTGGTGTACTCTGCGTGCTCTTCTGCCTAATGTCTCATGGCAGACTTGAGAGGGGCAAGGACTCAGGGTAGAGTACAAATGAAGATAGAATAGTGTTATTAGAATCACAGAAATCATACACAGGAAATAGGCATTTATAAAACAAATGTTCTAGAAACTAAATATAGGGGAAGGTTGAGAAGCAACTTCACACATGTCTAAAGCTGGAAGAAGCCATTCAAACATCTCTTCTGCACTTCTGTAAAATAAGATTGTAGGATTTCACTTCACTCTTACCACTATTGCTTTATGAGCTCAGTAATTTGCCTTTGACTGCTGTGTGTCTGGAGAACACTGATTATAATTGATTTCTTTTTTTTTGATTTCTGCATAAAATAGCTTACTAGTGTAATCAAAAAAGCAAACCATTTTAGTAGTCTAGTCTCTAATTGATAATGGATCTAAAATTCTTAAGTGGCATATAGTATATTGCGGCAGTAGATGGAACTGTGAAATTAAAAGCCGTTCTTACCGTTTCAGAAGAGTTAAATGATGTAGAACTCTTCCATCTTCTGTCTATTTGCTGCCTGTACAGCTGTGGATTGTTTCAGAAGCCATAACTGAGTGCAGCACAACATCTACACAGTCTGCTTGATGCATCATGCTTTGTCTTAGAGCAAATACGTTGCCTTGCTTGCTTTTTCTCCTCAGGTACCACTATATACCTGCAATTGTAATTTTTTGAGTGTGCCAGGGTGAGAAACTGGATTGGAAGCATGTGGTTCATTTCCAGTAGTAATGTGAAATATAACGTCTGAGCACTGACCAAGATGTCTAGCAACCCAAAACTCATCATCTACTGCTAAGCCTATAGATGCAAATATCTGGAGCCTTGTTTCCCTAGACTTTTTTTTCCCCCCCCCTCTAACCTACTTAAGCATGCTGGATCAGCTCCAGCCTAACAAGTTTTCTGTGGTTTTTTTTTTTTTTTGGTCGCATGCTGTATAGATAGCTCAGTTTGTGGGGTTTGTGGGCTTTTTTTTTTTTTTGAGTTATATTGCAGTCCTTTCCAGATCCTCTGGGTTTCATGCCTAAATTCTTGTTGTTTGTGCTTTTCCTCCCCCTGTTGCATGCTTTTCAAGAACTGGCAAAAACCTGAGTAGAACCTCTTTTTCCCTCTGCCACACCAAAGGCTGCCTACTTAAGGCAGGAAAAAAGAGCCTTGCTCCTGCAAGGCAACAAGACCTGGCAGCTGGGCAGTGACAAAACAGCTTTCCGCAGCTTTGCTTGAGCTCTGATGTACGAGATCATGCAGAACCCTTAAAGGGCTTCAAAGTCCTCTGATTTCTGGCCTCTGTAGCTGTCAGTGCCCAGCAGCGGTCTTAGCTCACAGGTTCCTGAGCCCTGCAGGGACTGAAGTTTGACAAATCTTCTGAGCAGCAGACCCAAGCTGCACACGACCAGAAGAAGAAATATGACCTTCCCCTTCCCTGACTCCCATTCTGTTATATGCATTCCTACCCATGTTCTAAGGATTTGAATGATTCTACAGCATTTTCTATTATATATTCTACTAATGACTGCAGAAAAGAAGGCTTTAGATATCCCCTACCGATAATACATGTAAAGGAAACAATTTGTTCAGTTTAAAGATGCATATTTGCATCTTTTGCATGCTTCAAATAGGTTACAAGTGTTATATGACAAGACAAATGCTTAAACAGCTTTGAAATTAAAGCGGCGTACTTTTTCATCAAATTTTACAACTGTTTACCACTTCAGAGTCAAATGTAGTGGCATGTTCTCAAAACACAACTGTTAATGAGATAGTAGAAGACATACCTCTGCTCCCCCTCAAAGCAGCCAGGGGAAAAATCCTCATTTCTGTCAGGTTTTAGCACACCTAATAAACAGCATATTAAAACTCCTCAGCTGCATATATTATCACACTGTAAGCACCTTAAACTAATACAAATCTGTGACTGTTGTGGCTGTGAAATAAGAAAGGCTAGACAATATTCTCTTACAAGAAGAAGCTTTAAATTATTAGTGATGGAATATACTGGATTTTTTTTTAATGCTGTGGATAACTCTACCACTCCATCTAAATCATTTTTTAAGTGTGAAAAGTCATAGCTTAAAAACCAATTTCAGCAGTCTTGGTTTTAATATTGGAATTCTGGAAGGCAATTTGCAATGCTTCCCATACAAAAACAAAATAAACCCTAAGCAGACCTTAAACTTAAATATAGACAGAATTGAGCACTTTGTATTGGTGAAACATTTGTCACAAAAGATGTTCGAGTGTAAAGAATAGAAGAATAATAATGTTTTTATTAATTATTAGTATTGCACACTGTTTGGCATAATATTAGTGCGTATTTTCCTTATCTAAACATTTAAATTGGTTGTAACCATCCATTAATATCTTCTATTTGTTTAGGCTAAAAAGTCATTTAATTGTTTTTGTTTGATTTTTTTTTTTTTTTCTTTCATACCTGAGAAAGCAAGCTTCCTGAGCTGTTAAAGAATAGGCCCTAGTATTACCACTTTCCCAGGCGGGTATTGTACAAATAGCTCAAATCCTATTCTATGCAGTAGAAGGCAGAGTTAAGTGCAGAGAATCACTGTGGCTTTCTGCATCCCATCCCATCCCTAAGTGCCCATGTATTTGTCGTTATCCTAAGAACTGCACCTGCATTACCTGGTAAGCAAGGTTTTCTTTGAAAGTTTTGATGGCAGTATCAGGAAGCAGTTTTAAATATATTTCATACTTCAAAGATGGGCTTCCAAGAGGTCATCTGTCAAGTCTGAAATAAAAATACCACATCAAAATTAATACATGTCTGGCACAATCCCATCCCCTACTGTTTTTAATCGGACAAAAAGAAGACTGATTTTCTAATGTTTTTCTTAAAATAACCATTAATCATTCAAAGTGTGAATGAATGTGGGAAGAGTAGAGTTTACTGTCTGCTGTAATGCACTAAGCTTACCACTGTTCAAACAGTAATGAATCTTAATGCACGTATTAATACCTTCAATGATGCCAATAAAGCCTGTTTGGATGGAAAGAATGCTTTTAACTACTGCAGAAGGGCCCTCGCTTAACTCAAATGTTTCAACTAAATCTGGGTGTTACAAAATAAGCATGCGTAGGGACATTCATTCCATATATATGGATGCCTTGAATAATTACAGGTTCCTAGCTGTGGAGGTTAACCTGGGTTTTCTACGCTCAAATTATGTCCTGGATTATGTTTTGGCTTCCCAAAACTGCTAACTGTCCTGTTGTTTTGGGATATGGACACAACCTTTTCAAACAAGGATGACTTACTGGGAGAGGAGTAACCTGGTTTGGAGTGGGCAATGTTTTGGGTCCACTAACCTGGTTTGGGGCGGGCAATGGTTTGGGTCCACTCATCCAGCCTGCACCTCCTGAGCTTGCCTGTGCGTGTGTTTTTGTTGCTTTTGTTTTGCTTCACTGGCTCTGTAGGGCTGCAACAGCTATGAACAGGCTTACCTCAGTTTCTAACCCTTCAGGTCAGAAAGTCTATATTACTAACTAATGTATGTAAGATGTGATGAGAATTAGGAGATTTCAGGGAAATGGTCCACCCTCACAGTAATCTCCAAAAATAATAATCTCATCAATCCTTACCTAGAAGTGCATGTGGAGTGTATCACTGATATCTGAACATCAGAAATACCTTGGTTTTTTTTTTTTCCCCCAGGTGTTGGAGGGGACATATTCCCTTTTATGTCTTTTTTGATGATACTATGTACTCATAATGACTCTTGTGATTTGCTAAGAAACGCATCCCAATCCTTAGCGTTTTCAAACTTGTCTTGGTTTACAGGCATTGGAAGGTGTCTGCTAAATCACTTTAATTTGATCTTTTTCTGGGAAGCAATGTTCTTTGTCCTTGTTAGGTTTACCTATTTTAAAGGAAAATGACAGCTTTTTTCTATGCTAGAATAAAAGCTAAGTTTTGTACTATGATCCTTGTCCTGATGTCACAGAATTACAGAATTGTTGAGGTTGGAAGGGCCCTCTGGAGATCATCTAGTCCAACCCTGGCCCTGCTCATGCAGGGTCACCTAGAGCACATTGCCCAGGACTCTGTCCAGAGACCTTGTGAATATCTCCAAGGAAGGAGACTCCACAACCTCTCTGGGCAACCTGTCCCAGGGCTCTGTGACGCTCCCAGTAAAGAAGTTTTTCCTCATGTTCTGACAGAACTTCCTCTGTTTCAGTTTGTGCCCATTGCGTTTCATCCTGTCACTGGGCACCACTGAAAAAGAGTCTGGCCTCATCCTCTTTACACCTTTCCTTCAGATACTTATACACACTGATCAGATATTTCCCCCCTCAAGTCTTCTCTAAGCTGAACGGTCCCAGCTCTGGGCCTCTTCTCATACGAGAGCTGCTCCAGGCCCTTAAGCATCTTCGTAGCCATTTGTTGGACTCGCACTCCAGGAGCTCCATGTCCCTCTCATACTAGGGAGCCTAGAACAGGACACAGCACCCCAAATGTGGCCCCACCAGGGCTGAGTAGAGGGGAAGGATCACCTCCCTTGACCTCCTGACAATGCTCTTCCCAATGCAGCCCTGGATACCACTGGCCTTCTCCAGGCCCTTAAGCATCTTCGTAGCCATTTGTTGGACTCGCACTCCAGGAGCTCCATGTCCCTCTCATACTAGGGAGCCTAGAACAGGACACAGCACCCCAAATGTGGCCCCACCAGGGCTGAGTAGAGGGGAAGGATCACCTCCCTTGACCTCCTGACAATGCTCTTCCCAATGCAGCCCTGGATACCACTGGCCTTCTCAGCCACAAGGGCGTACTGGTGGCTCACGGCCAACTCGGGGTTCAGCCGGACGTCCAGATCAACTTGCTGAGGGTGCACTCTGTCCCTTCATCCAGGTCATTGAGGACTACACTGAACAAGACTGGAGCCAGTACTGACCCCTGGGGGACACTGCTAGCTACGGGCCTCCAGCTAGACTTTGTGCCGCAACCCTCTGAGCTTGGCCATCCAGCCAGTTCTCAATCCACCTCATCGTCCACTCATCCAGCCTGCACCTCCTGAGCTTGCCTATGTTATGGGAGACAGCGTCAAAAGCCTTGCTGAAGTCCAGGGAGACAACATCCGCTGCTCTGCCCTCATCTACCCAGCCAGTCATCCCACAGAGAAAGCTATCAGATTGGTTAAGCATGATTTCCCCTTTGTGAATCCATGCTGACTACTCCTGCTCACCTTCTTATCCTTCACAGGCATGGAGATGGCATCTAGGATGAGCTGCTCCATCACCTTTCCAGGGTTCAAGTGAAACTCACTGGCCTGTAGTTCCCTGGGTCCTCCTCCTTGCCCTTTTTGAAGACTGGAGTGACGCTGGCTTTCTTCCAGTCCTCAGGCACCTCTCCTGATCGCCATGGCCTTTCAAAGATGATGGAGAGTGGCCTTGCAATGATGTCCGCCAGCTCCCTCAGCACTTGTGGCTGCATCCCGTCAGGGCCCGTGGACTTGTGGATTTCAAGTTTGCCTAAATGATTTCTAAATACGATCCTCCTTGACCAAGGGAATGTCTTCCTTTCTCCAGGCTTTCTCTCTTGTCTCCAGCGTCTGGGAGTCCCGAGGGCTGGTCTTAGCAGTAAAGACTGAAGCAAAGGCGGCATTCAATATCTCTGCCTTCTCTGTATCCTTCACCATCAGGCCCCCTGCACCATTCGGTAGGGGGCCTACATTTTCTCTAGTCTTCCTTTTGTTACTGAAGTATTTAAAGAAGCCCTTCTTGCTCTCCTTGACCCCCCTTGCCAGTTTAAACTCCAAATGAGCCTTGGCCTTCCTAGTCCCATCCCTGCATATTTGGACAACATCCCTATGTTCCTCCCAAGTGCCTCTCCCTGCTTTCACCTTCTGTACACTTCCCTCTTCTGTTTGAATTTTGCCAGGAGCGCCTTGTTCAACCATGCAGGTCTCCTGCCCCTTTTTCTCAATTTCTTGCACTGATTTCTCAATCAGTGCTCAATTGGGATGCACTGTTCTTGAGCTTGGAGGAAGTGATGCTTAAATAATAACCAGCTCTCCTGGACCCCTCTTCCTTCTAGGGCCCTATCTTATAGGATTCTTCCAAGAAGGTCCCCAAAGAAGCCCAAGTTGCTCTCCTGAAGTCCTAGGTTGTAATCCTACTTTTTGCCCCGCTTCCTCCTTACAGAATCTTGAACTCCACCATCTCTTAGTGGCTGCGGTCAAGACTGCCCCCAACCTTCACATCTCCAACCAGCCCTTCCTTGTTTGTTAGTACAAAGTCCAGCAGTGCCCCTCTCCTCATTGGCTCCTCCATCACCTGGGTCAGAAAGTTATCAATGCTTTCCAGGAACCTCCTAGATGGCTTGTGCCTTGCTGCCTCCAGCAGATATCAGGATGGATAAAGTCCCCCATGAGAACCAGGGCCTGAGAGCATGAGGCTACTTCCAGCTGTCTGTAGAAGGCCTCATCTACTTCCTCTTCCTGATCAGGTGGCCTGTAGCAAACACCCACAACAGAGGCACCCATGCTAGTTTGCCCTTTAATCCTTATCCATAAGCTCTCGACCCATTCATCGTCCACCCCTAGGCAGAGCTCAAGACATTCCAGTTGCTCTCTCACATAAAGGGCAACTCCCCCTCCTCACCTTCCTGGCCTGTCCTTCCTAAAGAGCCTGTAGCCATCCGTGGCAGCATTCCAGTCATGCGAGCTATCCCACCATGTCTCCGTAATCACAATGAGCTCACAGCCCTACGACTGCCTACAGATCTCTCATTCCTCCTGTTTATTCCCTATGCTGTGTGCATTCATGTACCGGCACTTCAGAGAGGTGTGCATCGGCATGCTGATTTCCCAGAAGGGGTGTAAGAGGTTTGTCCACAGTCTTGCCTTGTAGGTAATTCCATGGCTGCATGCAACTGCTGGAGGTATCCCCACTTGAGCCCTGTTTTGCTGACAGCATGATCTCTTATAATACTCTCCCCTTCCCCTGTCTTTCCTAATGTACAGCCCTCCTTACCAGGTTGGCCAGCCTACTGGCAAAGACATGTGTGCCCTATTCAGTGAGATAGATCCCTTCTCTCCCGATCGGTTGTCAGTCTTCATGGTTGTCAAACAGGGTCCCATGGTCACAGAAACCAAAACCCTGTTGCCAACACCAGCTGCGCAGCCTGTTGTTTACTTGGAGAATCTGTCTACTCCTCCTCCCATCCTTCCCCCTCGCTGGCAGGAAGGAGGAGAAAACAACCTGGGCCCCCACACCCCTGACCACCATCCCCAGAGCTCTGAAATCCCATTTGACTCTTTCCAAGTTGCCCTTGGCAGAATCATTGGTGCCAACGTGCAAGAGCAGCAGGGGGTAATAATTGGACGTGTGGACAAGCCTCAGCAGTCTTTCCATAACATCTCAGATCCAAGCCCCTAGCAGGCAGCAGACCTCTCTAGACAAGAGGTCAGGTTGGCGGGTGGGTGCCTCTGTCTCCTGCAGCAGGGAGTCACCCATAACAATCACTCACTGCTTCTTCCAGGCGTTCCTGCTTGGCCCAGGCTCTGTGAGCCCAATTGTGTCACTTGAAGCCATGCCCAGCTCCTCCTCAGCTTGGAGAGCACTGAACCTCTTCATCAGCTGTGAGTCTTCAGGAGGAGCAAGAGCCTTTCTGCTCATATGAGAAGTGACCAGCTTCCAGCCTTCCTTTTCTACAGGGTTATGACTTACTGTTCCATATGGAACAGAGCCCACTTCCATCTCCAATGCTGTGGGGGGTTGAGACTCTTCAAGCTGTCCTATCTCTCACTACTTCCGCTCCTAACTCCTTTACCTGACAATACAACTCATCAACAACAGCACACCTTCTGCAGAAGAGTTGACTATCAGCCCCAGGCACTCCCTGCAGCCTCAGACCTGCAGAGCTGCATCTGCTGTCAGAAGGTCTGTCTGGGTGGAAGCCACTGAAATGGCAGATACAGCGACTCCAACCACTACTGGGGAATGCACTCTGCAGTGTGTCATAACCATATCTGAGGAGGCGTATGCTACTATGGCTGCAGACAAAGGCCCATTCTTTGCACCCTTTGCACCGAACTGCTGCCTCTAGGAGCTGTGCTCTGGGCCTGGCACATATATAGCCCCCCCCAGCACTGACTCACAGGGTGCTTGACCCACCCTAACCAAGGGTCAGCTGGAACAAAAGCCCCAATTCCCTCTATCAGGGGCAACCAATAGAGCTTGTCCGCAGCAGCTGCACCTAGCTAGAACTTCCCAGGAGAAGTTAAGGTCTCCTGTAGCTGTTACTTGCCTAGCTCTCCTTACTTGTCCACAGCAAGCACCCTCTAGCCCTCACAGGGTCCCCAGAAAGCCCCCACAACTTCCAACAAGGTTCTCAGAAGTTCTAAGCAGAGCCCAGATACTGCTGCACAAACTGCTGCATCTGTTTGCTGCCTCTGTTAGCTGCGCCATGTCAGGTTTACCTAAGTCTATTTTAAATAGTAGTTCAAATGAAAATGACAACTTTTATTCTAATATGCAAAAATTAAGGTTTGTACTAAAAAGACTAGAAAGAAAAGTTCCTAAAGAGAAAAACAATTCAATTGGACAAAACTGAATCATTGCTGAAGTGCCCCGTTGAGCTGGGGAGATGGTAAAGGGAGGGACTAGCAGTATAAACCTCTGTCCCTCACTGCTGCCTTACTTCTCTCTGCTATTATTTATGCTTATTATTTTTCTCTGCTATTGCTTAAAGATACAACCCTCAGATCTTTCAGCTGTCTTTCTGAATTCTCTTTTTGAGATTCTTGGTTCTTTTATCTAATAGAAATGTTGGCCTCCCCCACATACGGGTTGGTATCTTGGTATTTTCCATCTCCCCTCGGTGGGTTCTGTCTCTCATTCACAGAATACCTTTGAATTTACATTTCTATTTATTCTTAATTAAAATCATAATTCTCAGCTTGCTTTCACTTTTTCATAGGGACTTCAGCTGCTGTATTAATAATATAGACAGCTTGTTAGTCAGGTGTGGGAGGAGGGTGGGTGCTCTGGTGGGAAGGTGTGAGGATCAACACTGAACTTCCCTCTAGAGGAACCTGCCTCTCTATTGATTATCAGGGCAACACAGTGAGAGATCTGGCTCATGTAGCCATCTAGCCTAGCTGACTGAAATGGGATGATATAGACACTCCTTTATCAATTTGCTTTCCCTAAAATACTCCTTACTCCCCTTCCCACCAGCTTTTTGATGATACAGATTAATTATTTATGTTGCGTAAGGAGGGAGAAAGACTGGCTTCATAGTTATGCTCAAAGGTTTCTTGTTTGCTAGTGAGAAAAACACTATATACAGGTAAAATTCAAATGATATTCTCTTACCTGGCCAGCAGTTTCACGGATAGCAGCGTATTCAATTTCTTGCTCAGTTACAGAGCTCAACTCGCCGCCTATTGCATCACTTATCAGGTAGACAGTAAGTGGTACCTTTGTAGGATACAAAGTCTAAAGTGAGGAGAAGAACCATAAGGCTATTAAATTATTTAAAAAACCAACAACAACAACAACACTCAAAGTGAGAAGGGAAACATAAAGGAGCAGCTAGGAATGGTCTCAGTGTCATTATTTGTGGCTGTATCGTATTTCATCATGCACCCACACTTCACCTCTGCTGTTCCCTCTTTCCAGAAACACCTTTTGCAAGATTATTATGGCAGGAAATGTCTGGCCCATTGGTTGCAGTGGCCATAGCGGCAGCACTTCCCTAACTCAAATGGAAGTGCTTTGTAGCGTCTAAACTTGGGTCTTTTAAGTCCTCAGTTGCAAAACATGCCTGTAAGCTGCTATACCTAGATATTCACAAGGCTCAGGAGTCCTGAGCCTTTTTCCGTGTGCTCCCTGGGCTGGGTTTGAAACTATCATCAGAGATCACTATGTTGGTAGAAAGGGATTAACTGGTTTTTGATGCTGGTGAAGAGTTCTTAATACAAATGTGTACTACTTTTGGGTATAGACAGGTAAAAGCACACTAACAGTGGAGTTTTTTTAGAAGTTTCATGGAGGTGGATTATTGATTTAATGTGACCTAGCAAACAGGATGACAAGTCAGCAGTACTCCATTACAGAGGAGCTGGACACTGAACAAGCAGTCAAGAATTAAACGCTTCCAGACTGTTTTGACTTCTCCGAAAAGGGAAGATCCTGCCAGCTAAGCCATCTAAAAGTAAAATAATAAACTGTTGTTTTCTGAAATCTGGAAGCCTAGATAAAAGTGAGCTAATATGTTAACTATCCTTTGAGCTTGCAAACCACTTGCTCAGATCTCTTGGACAAGATGTCATGGAGCTTCTGTGTTCTCAGCTGATAAAATGAAAGTTAATGCCTGCAGCTGTAGATGTGAGTTCAGATATGTATCTTTGATATCTACTGGATCTTCAAAAAAATACAGCTTGTGGTCTATATAGCCAAAAATAACCTAGGAAATTGAACCTGATTCAGAACTTAATGTTTGATATTAGTCAGGATTGTGCCCCTTATATCTTTAGAACAATGTTCTTTTTGTAATTTCTGAAACTCACTCTTCTGTGAAAGAACAAAGATACTAACACCAATGTCACGTTAACCCCAGCGGCAAGTCATAGTGATATACACAACTCATATGAGTAATACGGCAAACTCCAAAGTTATGAGGATTTTCTTGAGTAGAGAAACCTCAGTCTTAGAGAAGTGAGTGATGAACAAAAGTCATGACCTGATCTTACTCTGAGAGGGGATCAAAGAAAGCAAGGAGACAGGTAACTTTTTTGAATAATAGATGTGTAACTGGAAATCTGAAGTGGAAAAAGACAGCTGAAGTGCTGTAAATCGAAAAGGGATTGCTGGAGCTGTTCAAAGAGCATTTGTCTAAGTTGAGCTGGCGTTTCCTTCACCATCAGGATAGAAAAGATATGATATGTTACCTCTAGGTTTCTTACATAGTCAGTGAAGCTGTGGGGCCTAAGGTCAAACATCAGCTGGACACAAATATGTAATAGCAAATAGCTGGATAAAAGCAAACAAATTACTGAGAAGTTTAGCACACTGAAAAACACATGAAACAGTTGCTCTGCACAGCACAGGCAAAGCCTCAGCTATGTGAGTACCTTAGCACAATGGTTTGTTAGAAAGGATGTAACCGTTTCAACAGGAACACAGAAAGCTGCATGAATTACAGAGGTCTAGAAAATGTAACTTATGAAAAACACTTGAAGAACTTACTGGTTAGCTGGCAGAAGCCTGAGGAGAGAAAGAAGTCTTCAGAGATGAAAAAGGATGCCGCAAAGAAGGAAGTAGGAAAAGTTGGTCTCTAAAGGTGTATTTTCAGCCATCTGATTTTTGATAATTTAATGCCTGCCGATCTGGATTGACACAATAAATAATTATTGGTCATTTACAGACAAAAGTTTGTCAATAATTAATGATACAAAAGCCTGGAAAATTTGTCATCCTGATAACTATTTCTTGCAAATTTCCAAAACAAACATAAACTGAATCTTTTGACTCATCTGTTTTACTGTGAAGTACAGCTTGTGGTCTAAACTGATTAGATGTTCTGCTGTAAATAATCTACATCCTGTAGAAAGGGATATCAGACTATAGAGACTAACACAAAAGAAGAGAATAACTGAAATTAAGCACTTATTTGAGAGTAAATGATTCAAAAAAGCTTAGCGTCTTGCCCTCTACCATGCAGTTCTTTGCATGTTTGAAAGAGAAGATCAACGTTTCTATCATCTATTGTAATAAAAGAATCTTTGATACAATAATATAGGGACGAACACCAATGCAGACAACAGACAAGTGATTTAAAACAGATGTGAAATTCCCTCTATGGAGAAAATTATAGGCACTGGTGATGACATTAGATTCATATGACTAATCACAGTTAATGCTTGCTGCTGCCAATTAGCCTTATTAGCACAAGCAATTTGAGCACAGGATGACATTACTTTAATTACTGTAAGCAGCTTGTTCATTTATTGAGTAGTGTGCATTGAGAAAAAGGTTACTCTATCTGCAAATTAATCATAACCCTCTTTATTATTATAAATTCAGGAAAACCGAGGAAAAAAGACTTTACCATGCAAAGAGAAAAATTTGGGTGATGAAAGTCTGACAGTAATTTTAGTATTTTAGTACCTTTTTTTTTTTTTTTTACTAAGTGAACAAAAGCTATTGTATGCTTTCTGTCTGAAAGCTGTATGTGAGTGAGATGAAATTACTACCATTAGAGTTAAGGCAAGACATTATGACCATTAGGTGGTAGCAATGCAAAAAAATCCTATGAAGATGTACAGCACAAATAAGCCTAAAGGTATCTAGAGAGGAGGAGAGAGAGAAAAAGAAAAGGCAGAATAAGAAAGCCAGAACTTATTTTCTGCTCTCTTATGATATAAAGATGTTTATGGATCTATGGCACAGGTATCAATTTCTCATATAAACCTGCATATGAGAATACAATCTTCAAAGGTAGAATATGCATAACTTCATGACTGAAACACAAACAGTCATCATGCAACTATATTTAGTCAGAAATACAATAGCAAATGAAACAGAAACATGTGGCAATGAGCTTATTTCATTTGCACCATCACACTGACTCACAAAAAAATATTGCTGCAGAAACGTCAAAATCATTTTGATGTTTTGGAAACAAGAAATAAAAATAAGATTTTTTTTTTGGATGGATTTCTCCTAGCTCTTTATTATACACCAGAAATTGTTAGTTCTTCATTCAAAAGATAAAACTTCCTTTTCCTGCATTTTAAGTCTGTAGATAATTTGAGCTTGAATCAAGAATCATATTCTGTGTTTTACAATCTCTGGCTACAATTTTTCTTGTAAGCCTTCTGTTGCACATGGGTTTTGCACAAGGTTCCTAATGTTCAAAACTGGATTTTGAGGGAGGTCTGTTAAAGAAAGACAGAGTCCTCAGTGGCTATGCCTTTTCATCATTCTTCCCACTTGTTCCTCTACGGCTCCTGCAGAAGCAGTACTGTTAAAGAAAGTAGCTAGGCTGTGTTTCCCATGGCAAGGCTACATCCCATAATCAGCTGTGGACTATGCCACATGCAGGCTGTCAGAGCATCTAAATTCGCCCTGCTATGGGATAAAAAAAAGTTAGTAAAGCCTAGCAAAGCTGGATTGCCCTTGTACAACCCCAGCTAAGGCCCATCCTGAACAGTCTCCTTTTGCCTGTCAGCTGCTTCCTGAAGTCTCCTTCTTGTCAAGGTAATACCTTATATGCACTTTTCAGGCCTCTAAGTAACTGCAATACTAAGTGAATTTAGTGAGCACAGTTTGGGATAAGGAAGGTGGGGTGCCTTATGCTTTGGTTTCCCTGTCATTGTGTCCAGAAACCTCGTAAGAACGGTCCTTAAAATGAAAGCACATGCTCAAGTTACATCATTGCTTTCCACTGCATCAGCCTGTCTTTCAGTCACAAAAATAGCATATGCACTTCTGCTGACAAAACTGTGGTTTTCCCAGAATAGTTTGTTTTCCTTAGTGTAAGTGTTTTTTTTAAACTGGGAAGAAGCTTTAACCATGTCCACTCAAGAAGCACTTTGCTGGTGGAACACACTGATATTCTATGCTGCCACCCCTTGTCCTGGCCAACACAGTGGGGAGACTGGGTCTCAGCCTAAGGGTCTGGCCTTCAAGCTGGCCTTAGGTGACAGAGTCATCGGTGGTAGGATATGAATTGCTAAAACTAAAGTTGGAACAATATATATATATATATTTTTTTTTTAGTTTAGCTTAATTGAAAAATAACTGGTCTCCTCTCTCCATAACCTTAATATCCCTTTCCAGATATAATCTGATTCAAGTAGAAGTCTCTAGCTCGCATGAACCCTTTCATCCACTTTGAAATACATCTTACTTCTATATGGTATCTCCTTGAAAAGCATCCAGCCTTTAACTCAATTCCAGCTTTATGTCCATCTTCAACTGTAAGATATACCCTTGTAAATCACATTCAAATAAGTTCAGCCTTCAAAGGTAATAGAGAGTTATGGATGACTAGATAGAGTCTCTGCACTTCCAGAATGCCAAATGTCACAATAGTTGAAACTACCGAAAATGAGTGCAGAGTCTAAGGAATCAAACTTATATTGCTAAAAAGAAAAATGCGGGTTTTTCCACAACCTTTTCACAACGGTACAACATTCATAGCAAGCAATTTAAAGTATCTCCAGGAAATGAATCAACAGAAGAATATATACTGCAAGCTTATTGCATCCAGTGCTGCCTAAAAATAAGCACAAGAAAATAATTCTAAAAAGTGCTCAAATGAATGTTCAACTTTGTGAGGTGCTGGATCTCAGATCCTGTCCTGTCAATCATCTCCATGTGCTTTAGTTCCTCCCTGGCACATTCAGAACTTTTTCCTCCTTTCTGGAGCAATGATTGCTTGTGGCAGACTGCCACAACTCATTACCAGGAAGAGCACATTTCTCTCATTTCTGTGCTCAAGACCAGGCTGTGGAGATCTCTAGCAATACATAGTAACGTGCTAAAGGGCAGAAGCACATATACAGTGAGGTTCCAAGGGAAATCTTAGGATTTCAAAAAGTCATAGCATCTGGCAGCTTCAGTTTCAGCTAAGGTCACAATTTGAAGGTTTCTTTCTTCTGGTGCACGCTGTGCAATATCATTTAGAAGGCTGTCGTGCTTGTCAAAGACTGGGAACCTAGCATCTCTCTAAGAGGACAGCATTAAAATGGTTTTGAGACAACAGTGAGGTTGAAGAGAAAATGTATCTTCAGAGAGTTATTTTTGTTCTTCATGAGTTCTTTGCAGAAGCTTGTATCTACACAAATAAAAAGAATACTGTGGTTTAAACATAGTACTGTTTTTGCATCCTGAAAGATACAAAAATACAACGCATATTTAGCCAACGATACGACGACATCAGCAAACTCTGATGGGTAGTAAGTTTTCCATTGCTGCTACCTGTGTAGGTTTCTTTTTTTTTTTTTTTCTTTTTTTTTTTAAGAAGCGAGGGCAATACCACTGCATTGCCCCTGAGCTAACAATGCTGATCTTGTTCTGGTCTTTCCACATTTCTGCTGGGCTGTGGGGATCATTGCAACGAAAGGTGGACTTTGTCAATATTCTGCGAGGAATGAAGACCAGAGGGGAGTGAAGCAGCACTTCAGTACTGCATAAACCATTTTTTAACAGGAAAGGATCTCTGCTGAGAATAACTCTAGAGAAATGTGGAGCAGCCCATTCATTTCAACAGATGTTCTTCACTGACTGTGCATGTCCCAGAGAGATGAAACACAGAATGGCACAATAGCTCTGACCGGCTAAAACTGTCCTAGTTGTTTGAGAAGTATTCTTCCCCCCTCCCTGTTCTTGTTGTGGCATACCACTATTCAAAATAATCTCACTTATATAGGGAGTTACAGCATTTTAATGATTTATGAGGATACAATATTGTGCATGAAGAAACCTGTAAATCCACAATCCCTAATTTGCATCACTGCACCATTTTTGCCCCCAGCACCTAGACTAAGCTAATGATATTAGTTTGATAAGATGGGGGTGGGAGGAGGTGACAATCATGCCACTCTAGTTAGAGTTGTTCCTAAATCTACATTTCAATAGGGGTGAAAAAAGACCTACCAATGTTTTTGCTAGTTTGTGATGCGGTGCCATTAAAAGTATATTTGCTATATTTTGTTCTGATCTGGCCAAATCTAGCTATTAAAACTGTTCCCTGCAAGCTTCACTTCCAGTCAATGCTGATGGCTCTCCCCATAACGCTGTCAGCTGTGCTGCTGTATTCATGTTGGTGGCTGGGTGGCTGGTGGTCCTGCACTCATCTAAGATTTGGATTTAGACACCCTGGCCTCCTAAGCGTGGGCAACAGGCCCAAATGCTGCTAGTCTTGTCCCCATCCGGTAACTGCTTGAGATGTTCCTGGTGTACGTCTGAGTTTTATCATATTGCATTTGCGCAGGCCCTAGAGCTCTGTCAAAGGTAGCAGTCACAGTGTGATCTCTGGATTTAGACTGATAGAAAGAAATACTGTAGAAAAATAGAATTGCTTCCTGTGTTTGTTTCATGATCTGAAGAACTATTTTGGCCAACTACAGTAGCTGGCAGCACATTAGTCAATACTGACCATATGGAAATCTTATTTCTATAATGGATGCATTTCCTGATGCTGAACTACCTACCCACCATGCTCACATTAGAGAGTCACAAATGTTTTTTCCTCTATCACACCTAGCCATATTGCTCATGAAACAAAAGAGGAGCATTCAGCGTAATTATATTTCCTTAATACTGCTGTTTCTTCATATTTCCTTAGTGCTGATCTTTCCATCATCTTCTACC